GTTTGCTTGTTCCAGGTCTGAGTTCAAGCCCTGGATATCCTTGTTAATTTTCTGTCTGGTTGATCTGTCTAATATTGACAGTGGAGTGTTAAAGTCTCCCACTATTATTGTGTGGGAGTCTAAGTCTTTTTGTAAGTCATTAAGAACTTGCCTTATATATCTGGCAAGATTGATCCTTTTTCCATTATGTAATGACCTTCTTTGTCTCTTTTGATCTTTGTTGCTTTAAAGTCTATTTTATCAGAGACTAGAATTGCAACTCCTGCTTGTTTTTGCTCTCCATTTGCTTGGTAAATCTTCCTCCATATGTTTATTTTGAGCCTTTGTGTATCCTTGTATGTGAGATGGGTTTCCTGGATACAGCATACTGATGGGTTTTGGTTTTTTATCCAATTTGCCAGTCTGTGTCTTTTGATTGGTGCATTTAGCCCATTTACATTTAGGGTTAATATTGTTATGTGTGGATTTGATACTGCCATTTTGATACTAGCTGGCTGTTTTGTCCGTTGATGCAGATTCTTCATTTTGTTGATGCTCTTTAGCATTTGGTATGTTTTTGGAATGGCTGGTACTGGTTGTTCCTTTCTATGTGTAGTGCCTCTTTCAGGAGCTCTTGTAAAGCAGGCCTGGTGGTGACAAAATCTCTGAGTACTTGCTTGTTCGCAAAGGATTTTATTTTTCCTTCACTTATGAAGCTCAGTTTGGCTGGATATGAAATTCTGGGTTGAAAGTTCTTTTCTTTAAGGATGTTGAATATTGGCCCCCACTCTCTTCTGCTTGTAGAGTTTCTGCTGAGAGATCTGCTGTGAGTCTGATGGGCTTCCCTTTGTGGGTGACCCGACCTTTCTCTCTGGCTGCCCTTAGTATTTTCTCCTTCATTTTAACGCTGGTGAATCTGACAATTATGTGCCTTGGGGTTGCTCTTCTTGCGGAATATCTTTGTGGTGTTCTCTGTATTTCCTGGACTTGAATATTGGCCTGGCTTGTTAGGTTGAGGAAATTTTCCTGGGTAATAATACCCTGAAAAGTATTTTGCAGCTTGGATTCATTCTCTTCGTCACATTCTGGTACACCTATCAAACGTAGGTTAGGTCTCTTCACATAGTCCCACATTTCTTGGAGACTTTGTTCATTCCTTTTTGTGCTTTTTTCTCTAATCTTGGTTTCTCATTTTATTTCATTGAGTTGATCTTTGCCTTCTGATATTCTTTCTTCTGCTTGGTCAATTCGGCTGTTGAAACTTGTGCATGCTTTGCGAAGTTCTTGTTTTGTGTTTTTCAGCTCCTTCAATTCATTCATATTCCTCTCTAAGTTGTCCATTCTTATTATCATTTCCTCGAATCTTTTTTCAAATGTTTTTTCAAGGTTCTTAGTTTCTTTGCATTGATTGAGAACATGTTCTTTTAGCTCATGGAAGTTTCTCATTATCCACCTTCTGAAGTCTGATTCTATCATTTTGTCACACTCATTCTCTGTCCAGCTTTGTTCCCTTGCTGGTGAGGAGTTTTGGTCCTTTGTAGGAGGCGAGGTGTTTTGGATTCAGGTGTTTTCCTCCTTTTTGCGCTGGTTTCTTCCCATCTTTGTGGATTTATCCACCCGTCATCTGAGTAGTTGCTGACTTTTCGATTGGGTCTCTGAGTGGTCACCCAGCTTGTTGATGATGAAGTATTTCTGTTACTTAGTTTTCCTTCTAACAGTCTAGCCCCTCTGCTGTATGACTGCTGAGGTCCATTCCAGGCCCTGCTTGTCTGGGGTACACCTGTAGTAGCTGTGGAACAGTGAGGGATACTACCAGTTTCTTCTTCTGCTATCTTTGTCCCAGAATGATGCCCGCCAAATGTCAGTCTGATTAGTCCTTTCTGAGGTGACTCTTTGGATATACAGGGGTCAGGGAGCTGCTTGAGGAGACGGTCTGTACTTCATAGGAGCTCAAGTGCTGAGCTGTGAGCTCTGTTGTTCATTCAGGGCTGTTAGGCAGGTACATTCAAGTCTGATGCAGCAGAACTTATAAAACCCCTTTTTTTCCTCAGATGCTCTGTCTCAGGGAGTTAGGGCTTTCTTTATGAGTATCCGTTGCACTGTCCTGCCCAGCTAGGAGGCAGTCTAGTCACTATTTGCCTGCTGAGGCTCCGCCCTACTACCATGGGGTCTGCCCTGTTGCTGTGGGCTCTGCCATGCTGCCGTGGGCTCTGCCCTGCTGTGGTGGGCTCCACCCTGTTGCTGTGGGCTCTGCCCTGTTGCCATGGGCTCTGCCCTGCTGTCATGAGCTTTGCCCTATAGGCGGAGTCTCTCTGTTATGGCGGGTTGCCTCAGCAATGGCAGGCTGCATCAGCAATGGGAGTGTACCTCATTAGGAGCGGAATGCCTCGGTAATGGCAGACGCCCCTCCCCCACCGAGATGCACCATCCTGGGTTCAGCTGTGCCCACAGTGAAACTCAACCCCGAGCATTTCGAATTGCCATTTTGTTTGTCCCGGTGGGGGTGGGATCTGCTGAGCCTGATCACCTGGCTTCCTGCCTCAGAGCCCTTTGTTTTTCTTCTTTTTTTGAGACGTAGTTTCGCTCTTGTTACCCAGGCTGGAGTGCAATGGAGCTATCTCGGCTCACCGCAACCTCCGCCTCCTGGGTTCAGGCAATTCTCCTGCCTCAGCCTCTCAAGTAGCTGGGATTACAGGCATGTGCCACCATGCCCAGCTAATGTTTTGTATTTTTAGTAGAGATGGGGTTTCACCTTGTTGACCAGGTTGGTCTCGATCTCTCAACCTCGTGATCCACCCGTCTTGGCCTCCCAAAGTGCTGGGATTACAGGCTTAAGCCACCCCGCTCGGCCCCGTTTTTTTCTTTTAAGTTGAACGGTTGACTCTCCCAGGTGTTTCAGTCGCCTGCTGATAGGGCACCAGGATCTGTGTGATTTTCTGTGCAGCGACCCACTGTGCCAGCTCAAACGTCACTTCCCGGGAATCTCCTGGTCTGGCTCACTGACCAAGTCCCATTTAATCAGATGGATATGCTAATCTGCCCTCCCAAATCTCAGATTGCTGGTTTAACAGGGCACCCAAACCAGTGTGTTTTGTACAGAGTGCCACTGCATTGCAGCACTGGCCGAAATGGCCGCATCGGCCGAAACAGCTGAGCTGGTGTCCCGTGTCTCTCCTACACCTGGGAATTTCCCCATTCTGTGGGCAACAAAGATCTGTCTGGAAATGCAGCTTGGACTCACCCTCTGCGCCTTCACTGAGAGCTGTAATCCTGAGTCACTCCTACTGCACCATCTTCTTTTTCCCCTCTAATTTTTGTATTTTAGTGGAGACACAGTTTCACTATGTTGGCCAGGATGGTCTTGATCTCTTGACCTCATGATCCACCTGTCTTGGCCTCCCAAAGTGCTGAGATTACAGGCATGGGCCACCGTGCCCAGCCAAGCTTTTTAAAATAAGCAGAACTTTCCATTTTGATGAAAAACAATTTATTACTTTTCCTTTGATAATCAGTGTTTTCACATCCTATGTAAGAAATTATTGCCTATACCAAAGTTTCAAAGACACTTTCTTGTTTTAGTTTTTATGTTTTAGATTTTTGAAACATCTCAAATTAATTTTTGTACATAGGGCATAGTAGGGGTTGAGGTTCATTTTCTTCTCATGTTTATCCAGTTCCAATACCATTTGTTGAAAAACTTTTTGTATGTCCATTGAATTGCCTTGGCACCATTAACAAAAATTAATGTAGCAACCCTGTGTAAATCTATTTCTTAGCACTCCACTATATTTAATTAGTTTATTTGTCTGTTGACATATTGATACCCCAGTGTCTTTATTACTGAAGCTTTATAATATGTCTTGAAATCAGGTAGCCTGAGTCCTCCAACTTTTTCTTCAAGATTTTTAATATTAGTTTTGGCTCCATGACTTGCTCTAGCTCATGGAAGGTGGGTGGAAACAAGAGTGCCTTTCTGACTGTAGGCTTGAAGATACACTGCATATTTCCATCAGCCTTTTGAGCATCTTCCCTTTACCATGACAAAAACATCCCCTAGATGGGAACTAATCCTTCAGCCTGGGACACAGAATGAGAAGGCCTGTGGAGCAGATTTGAACTGTAATTTGTGGCACAGCAATAACACCTTACTCTAACCCAGAAGCCAAGCTTATGTAAGTCCTGCTGATATGGTTAGGTTTTACATCCCTACCCAAATCTCATCTCAAGTTGTAATCCCCATAATCACCACATGTTGAGGATGGGACTTGGTAGGAGGTGACTGGATCATGGGGGCAGTTTCCCAAACACTGTTCTCGTGATAGTGAGTGAGTTCATGAAATCTGATGGTTTTATAAGTGTTTGTCATTTCTTCCTACACAGACTTTTCTCTCACCTGCTGCCATGTAAGACGTGCCTGCTTCCCCTTTTGGCATGATTGTAAGTTTCCTGAGGCCTCCCCAGCCAAGTAGAACTGTGAGTCAATTAAACCTCTTTCCTTTATAAATTATCCAGTCTTGGGCAATTCTTTTTGGCAGTGTGAAAACAAACTAATATACCTGCAGAGCCTGATAGAGGCAGTCATAAAGGTAGCTTGCTTATGAGCTAAAAATCTTTGATATTTAGAGGGTGTTTGTTATAGCAGCAAGAGCTGACTGACATAGGTGATATAAAGGGGGATTTCCTCAGGATCACAAAGCTTCCCTATATCCCCTAAAGAACACTTGGAAGCATAGCAGCAGAAGTTTTGGGCCAGTGCAGGTCTGAATCTTGCTAACTTCTTTGAGCTCCAGGTTCTTAAGCTAAAAAATGGCTTCTTTGGGTTGGTGTAACCATTAAGTAAGATGGTTTATGTAAAGCCTATAGCCATGCTGAAGACATACAAGATATGCCTTTTACCTCCCCAAGCATGCTGCAAGGAGCAGTGACAAACACTTGAGGACAAAATGAATGAATGGATCAATCCTTCCACATCTGAGTGCTCAGTCACTGGAGCACTCAGAAGTCTCTTTGTCCTCCTTTACCTTTCTTCTTCATCACTGCTGGTTCCTTCTTCAGCTGCTAACTTATCTTGACACTCCTCTCCTCTCGGCGAAGTTTCATTCAGCTTCAAGCATGGATCCTAAGGCAAAAAAAAAAAAAAGGCAAGATGAGCTTAAGTACAGCTTCATGATTCAACCTGTGGCTTATTCAAATCAGAGAGCAGAGGAGAGGGAGCCCCCAGCAACCCACTATTGGTGCTCAGTTCGCAGGGGGTGCCAACGCTTGTAATGATGACGTGACTAGAACAGTGCCTGGATTACTGTGATCAATGCCAGCCTTTATCCCTGTATCCTGTTTTTCCATCTAGGAAACATTTCACACTGCTAATAAAACTAAAGCATAAAGAGGGGAAGTAAACTGGCTAGGGTGCCACCATCAGTAAGTAGTGGAAATGAAATATGCAACTGGGCAGTAGGACCCTGGGGACTGAACTCTTGCCCTCTTCCTGATATGGTTCCATGCATAACCCTCAGAGAGAGGACCTTGTTTTCTTGTTAAGTCTGCTGCATGGGGCTGCTGTGAAGACCTGAGAACAATGCCGGCTCACAGCTAGTGGTGTGTAAGTGTGAGCGATTGGTGTTATTATTACATTTGTTTTACAATTTGTAGTCTGCTATGTCCCATTACGTAGAATCAGAAGACATGGAACTTCCTGAATGACCAGAAATGGAGTATTGGAGGAGAATATGGAAACTAATAGTTAACAATGAGGCTTCTGAATATTTTATGAATTGGATTTGCAAATGTTATCATTCCCCCCTTCCCACAGAAATATGTAGGTGAAAAAGACCCTGTTATTTTGATTTTTCTATTTGTCATAACCACTGTCCATGTAAACAGTATAAGACAGGGTAGGAACAGATTTATCTCATGAAATAGTGATAACTGGAACCTGTGCTTTCCACTAACTGGTTGCGTGGTCTTGAGCCAGTCTCTTCCCTTTTTCGGACCTGAGTTTCATCAGCTGTGAAACAAATGGGATGGCTTACATCTATGGTCAAACTGTGTTCCAGGGATCCTGGGAGGTGTCTCAGGGGTAGAAAGGGGCAGAGCTGAGGCTGGAGGGTAGGGCCTCGGGCTTCCATCCCTCCTTGATCTGGAACAAAACTGCTTTGGTTGCCTTTTCATATACTGTAATGTCTATAAAAGGCCATCAATGTCAATACCAATGAAGACCTCCAGACTGCCAAATATGAGGGACGATTCTTGGATCTGAGCTAACTGGGCCTCCTAGCAGAATTGGAAATATTGATGATTCCTTCTTTTATGGAGCCTTCTTTCCCGGGCCTTTTCCTCCCCTATCAATTGCTGCTTCTCAGTCTCCTCTGCTGAAGTCTCCTCTCCTGCTTCTCAAACTGCTGCATGTCCAGAACCAAACTCTTGATTTTACTCCTCCAAACAGCAAGCCTGCACCTGGCTCAGGGCTTTTCACTGGCTGTTGCTTCTTCCCTCTGATATTTGCATTCCTTGCTCCCTCACTTCACTTGCTGCAACCAGGAGATTGTCCCTGGCTTGAAGCTTAGGCTCTAGTACCAGACAACTTGTGTTTAAATGTCAGATCTTTTACTTATTAATGATGTAACCTTGGGAAAATTACTTAGGTTTTCATGAGGATTAAATGAGCCAATACATGTAAAGCTTTTAGAGCAGTAGTAGGTACCTAAGGTATATTCAACGCTCAAATTTATTCCCTGGGATTCTTTCTTTTTTTTTTGAGACAGAGTTTCACTCTGTGACCCAGGCTAGAGGGCAGTGACACAATTTGCAGCTCACTGCAACCTCTGCCTCCTGAGTTCAAGCAATTCTCCTGTCTCAGCCTCCTGAGTAGCTGGGACCACAGGTATGCACCACCATACCCAGCTCTTTTTTTTTTTCATTTTTAATAGAGGGGTTTCACCATGTTGCCCAGGCTGGTCCTGAAGTGATCTACCCATCTCAGCAACCCAAAGTGTGGGGATTACAGGCAGATGCCACCGTTACCAGACTGTTCCCTGGGATTCTTATTCCCTAGACACCTTCTCTAAAATCCCACCCCATCTCACTCTCTTTTCCTCACCTTGCTCTGTGTTTTCTCAAAGGAAATATCATGGCTTGATGTTGATTTGTCTATTTTTTAATTATCTGTTTCCCTCACTGGAAGGTAAGCTCCATGAGGGCAGGGGCTTTGCTCACCTGTTTGCCTCATGCCTAGAACATTGTGTGGCACATGCGAGTCATTACTAAATGAATAAACACAAATAAGTCACAGGCCACTCCAGGATAGCAGGAGGACCACTTTCTCCCATACTTGCCCTACCCCCACTTTTTTGTTGTTTTTTGTTTTGTTTAATGATACAAGATTTCACTCTGCTGCTCAGGGAAGAGTACAGTTGCAAAATCATAGCTCACTGCAGCCCCGACTTCTCAGACTCATGATCCTCCCACCTCAGCCTCCCAAGTAGCTGGGATTACAGGTATGCACCACCATGCCCAGGTACTTTTTATATTCTCTGTAGGCACAGGGTCTTGCTGTGTTGCCTAGGCTGGTCTGAAACTCCTGGGCTCAAGTGATCCTCCTGCCTCAGCCTCACAAAGTTCTCATATTACAGGTATAAGCCACAGCACCCACCCTTCACCTGCTTTACATCCCATGGAAGGAAGGGCCTGGGACTGCTGCTTTGTCGTGAAAATCCCCCTGGGCACACGTCTGGAGGGTGCTGTGTGGAGATGGCTGTCGCCTGTACATTGAGTGTTTTCCTGAATTTGCTTTAGAAACCCTGTATGCTTTATAAATTCAAGTTCTGTTTAAATCATTTGCATTGCCTCTAAATGTAGCAGAATACCATGTGATGCCCACTCCAGAGAATCAGCACAGAGATGGCACTTGGGAACCCACTGCCCACTGTGCCCAGGAGGAACCGTCCTGGGGCCGTCCGAAGTGATGGTCTGAGAGAGTAAACATTTGCTCCGCCTCCCACAGCTTTTCTCTCTAAGCCTTTATCTTCCCTGGATATGTTCTGTGTTAACTCTGCTAAGCCAGAGCTACATTTGCCAGGACTTTCTTCTCTGTGTACTCTGGTCCATGTGACTTTACATAAAATGTGGCAGATGGAAGTGAAGCAGCAATCATTTCTTTGTGACGCTTGGATGCTTGAATGTAGCAACACGCCTGGTGCTGTTGCAGCTCACACACGTCATTGCTGATCAGCTTGCTCACCTTGTTGGCCGGGGCAGGTTTTGGGCTCTCAGCTCCTTCAGCTCTTGCTGGTTTCTCCTTGACTTCTCCCTATCCTGGGCCAGTGTGTATAGCTCCTGGGGCAGCAGCCAGCCTGAAGCTCCTCCCGCACTTGCCGGATCCTCCTCAGGCTTCTCCCTATCCCTGGCCAGGTGCATGTTTAGCTCCGTGATGAAGGATGCCTTATTCTCCTACGTGTCACTTGCATTAGCAAGGTGGAGCCTTGTTGGCTTCAGATACCGACATGGTTCAAGCCCAGCCTTGTGGGCTGCAGTTCCTTCTTAATCTTCCTCACTTCACTTCTGTCCTTCTTTCCTTCCAGCAGTCCGCCCTGCTGACTTTAGGCACACCATCAGAACTTAAAGTGTTTATCTGGCTCCTTCAAGCTAGGCCAGTTCCTAAATTGAATCTCACATCCTACATTATTCTTAGTAGCTTGTTTCTATGATAAGACCCTAATTGACACACCCTTTCATCTCTAGATCCTACTTATTCTTCAAGGCACTATTCAACTGTTACTTCCTCATGAAGAATTCACAATCTTTTGTTGCAATTACACCTTCTCCTCTTAAAGTTCTCATAACAATTTTTTTTTTTGCTACCACGATTTTCTTTTCATTGTCGTTTTTTGTTTTTTTTTTTTTTGAGATGGTGTTTTGCTCTGTCACCCAGGCTGCAGTGCAGTGGTGTGATCTAGGCTCACTGCAACTTTCATATCCCGGGTTCAAGCAAGTCTCCTGCCTCAGCCTCCCAAGTAGCTGGGACTACAGGTGTGTGTCAACACGCCCAGTTAATTTTTGGATTTTTTTAAGTAGAGATGGGGTTTCTCCACGTTGGCCAGGCTGGTCTTGAGCTGCTGACCTTAAGTGATCCACCTGCCTCAGCCTCCCAAAGTGCTGGGATTACAGGCAGGAGCCACCGCACCAGCCTTGCTCCCACAATTTTCTTACAAATACTTACTGATCACTTACTATGTGCCAGGCCTTGCTCTAGGGACACCTGAATAAACAAACAAACAAAAAAAAAAAAACAGAAGTTTTTCTGCCTTGTATTAGTTATAGGAGCATTTTCTTTCTCCCTTCCTAAACATAAGTGAATATAAAAGTAATCCCAGATATCGTTTTTAAAATGTTATAAACCCTACAGTCAGGGACTGAGAATGCAGCATAGCTATTTTTCATAGCCTGAGTCCTCCCTCTTTATGTAACTAGAAACTAAAGTCCAGCTTTTTGACGTGAACTGGTCACAGGGCCCCATGAGGTTGGTTCATTGTCATGTATTTTCAAAAATGTTGCAACTAAACAGATTATAACCTACAACGTGAACCAGAGGCTAAAAGGTCCTCCTGTGCCTCCTAGTTTCAGGTATTTTGGGTATAAAAAATATCTCAGTGATCTCTAATTTCCACAAAGCACAGCAGTAAATATCATAGTCTAGAAGCAAAACAGCTTTGTGAGTTCATGCCATAAATTCAGGTTCTGTATAAACCTGGAAAATTGCATGGTGAACATGGAAGAAAAACAAATAATCAGATGAGCATATGTACTATTACAATATAAATACATAAATGATGTATGATTAATTAGGTTCAGGTCTCCAAAGGAAAATTCAAGGCTACCAAGAAATTTTGTTCAATAGAAAGCATGAAATATGTTGGCATAACAATTCTGAGACCAGTAGTCAGGACAAACATGAACTGGCTAAGTTCTACATGGAGAGCTCTTCAGATAAAAGGAATTGTTCACTAAAACGCTCTAATAATGAAGCGATCGCCCTCTAACAACAGAGCCTAAAAACATATCGCAAAATGTGTATAACTGTAGTGAGAAATAGGAAAATTTGTAATGGGAGATTTTAATATACAT